GTCCGTATGTAAACAAAGCCTTTGTTTACATTTTCGTGTCCAAAATATTGAGCTTTATTCGACAACTATTTATATTTTCAAGCTTCTAGTGTATAATAAATGATCAAGAAACAACAGTTAGGCTTTTCAAGAACTCAAAACATAGTTAAACTGTTTGTATCATAAAAAGTGGGATCATTTGTGCACATGTGCAGATCGGACTGTAGATCACCTTTAATAAGAAAATTCTTTTAAAAAAAATTTCTTGATTTGAGAAATTATTTTCTTAAAATAAGAAATTATTTTCTTATTTTAAGAAAATTTTCTTATTTCAAGAATTTTTTTTCTTGGGAGAATAACAAGAAAATTTTCTTAATAAGAAAATTCATTTTAAGAAAAATTTCTTTTTTTGAGAAATTATTTTCTTAAAATAAGAAATTATTTTCTTATTTTAAGAAAATTTTCTTATTTCAAGAATTTTTTTTCTTGGGAGAATAACAAGAAAATTTTCTTAATAAGAAAATTCATTTTAAGAAAAATTTCTTGTTTTGAGAAATTATTTTCTTAAAATAAGAAATTATTTTCTTATTTTAAGAAAATTTTCTTATTTCAAGAATTTTTTTTCTTGGGAGAATAACCAGAAAATTTTCTTAATAAGAAAATTCTTTTTAAGAAAAATTTCTGGTTTTGAGAAATTATTTTCTTAAAATAAGAAATTATTTTCTTATTTTAAGAAAATTTTCTTATTTCAAGAAAACTTTTTTCTTGGGAGAATAACAAGAAAATTTTCTTATTAAGAAAAAAAATTTCTTGATTTGAGAAAATATTTTCTTAAAATGAGAAAATATTTTCTCAATTTAAGAATTTCTCTCAAGAAAATTTTCTTAATAAGAAAAATTTTCTTAAGAAAATTTTCTTAATAAGAAAAATTTTCTTAAGAAAATTTTCTTATTAAGAAAATTTTCTTGTTATTCTCCCAAGAAAATATTTTCTTATTTCAAGAAAATTTTCTTAAAACAAGTTGTTTTTTTCTTAAAATAAGAAAATGATTTTTTGCTGTGTATGTCACTCAGTTATATTCCTTGTTGGAGGATGATTCTTAAGTTGCTCCCAAAATATCAGGATGCTTAACCCCTTGTCTATCGGCCAGCGGACCTCCGGAAGAGATAAGTTCAATTTCATTGATTGCAGAGGGAATGGTTGTAAAAACTTCAGATACGATCGGTGCAATATTACCACCGCAGTGGCACATTTGCTTGCAGGGTACTACGTTTTAACATGCAGTACCCAAAAGAGGCCAACAGGTCATAGTAAAAACATTCACATGTTTTAGTAATTTAGAACATGTTCTTTTGGGCAATAATTGCCATACTTTACCAATTGATGTGGAGAACTTCCTATAAGCTAAATATAAATGAACACATTAAATAGAACAGTTTATGATAATATTGTATCACTACTTTAATGCATGTATTGTACTGTACATGCAGGATATATTGTCTCCAGGAGAGTTATAACCCTCACAATCATGGGCTGTGTCTGTGAATGTTTCTATATAGTATAACTCTAAACTATATATAGCTTACAAGCTAATGAATTGTGTGAGATAACCATTGTTTCTTGAAATAGAAGAAAGTTTCTTCTATATATGGAGAGCTTTTTACTTTCACAATATAATATGATGACCGCATGCTATCAAACTCTGCTCCACTTCCACTTTACTGTTTTTCAATGGTCGCACACTGGAACTCAATTATCTCGTAGATTATTTTACTTATATATTATATATAAGACTAATGCATTCCTTAAGAAAAATACATGATTTTTATCAAAGTACTGAAATTGTTTAATATTTACTATTTTGATTTTGAGTCAAATATTGATTTTAACCTATCTGATTTTAACCTATTTGATTTTAACCTATTTTTTTTAGGTTAAATCAACTGCATGTAACCTATTTTAAAGGGCTGGTTTAGACTCATGGCCTTTACCATTACTTATGGGTTGTTTCAACCATAAAGAATAGGTTATATTTGTATCAACCAATTCTTATAGGTTAAATTGACCAAATATTATTGGTTAAAATGACCAAATATTTATAAGTAAAAACAACCTATATTTATTTGGCAAAAACAACCTATATCTCTGAGTAGATTTAACTGTTTAAATTTAGGTTGTTTTAACCTAAAAATAAATGTTAAAATAACATATTGTAAATAGGTACAATTAACTATATTATAGGTTAAAATAACCCACTAGAAATGGTTTGTTTTAACCTATTTACTTTTAGTTATTTCTACCTATTTAAATAACCTATTTTAAACCGGTTGTCCTAGACCAACTCAAATAACCTATTTTTTGGGGTTATTTTAACCTATCAGTTTTTACAGTGTACTTTTCCGTTGCTCAGAGCATGTACAGCTCTTTCTCACATATCTTAATCGCCAACACACCAACATTCGCTTCACTAGTGAGGTTGAACGTGATGGTAAGCTCCCATTTCTTGACATTGACATATCCCGCTCCAATGGAAAATTTTCTACTTCTGTTTACCGTAAACCTACGTTTACTGGTCTTTTTACTAACTTCCATAGCTTCATTCCACTTACATACAAACGCAGC